CGGAAGTAACGAATGCCCTCCCCTCCCACTCCTTTTCCCTTGCTTTTATTTCTGAGCATACGTCATATGGTATGGAATACCCCTTTGGTCCATTTGGGTCAGCTGTCCTGGCTGTGTCCCCTCCCAAGACCCCCCCCACCACCAGCCTGCTGGGGGCGAAATGTTGGAGAGCCAGCCTTGGTGCTGTGCTAGCACTGCTCAGCAGTAACCAAAACACTGGGGTGTTATCAACACCCCTCGAGCCACCAATACAAAACACAGCACTCTGAGGGCTGCCATGGGGAAAATCAACTCCAGCCCAGCCAGACCAAATGCAGCACCTCAACTTGAAAAAGTCTAAAAATTGTTGCAGCACTTTTTAGTGCCTGACTTCATAGTCGTGCTTGTGCCTCAGCCCTCGCTTTGTGCAGGAGCTGGGGAGGTTTTGGTGGCAATGAAAAGAATTCAGAATTAAAGCACTGCTCAGTGTCCATCCTGGTTCTCTCTTTTGATGTCTTTTCCTCCAAAGTGGAGATGATGTAAATGGTGAAGTGCTTCTTAATTAGTATTTTAAATTGTGCAATTAAATATTATTGAAATGAACTCAGTTAAAAAAAAAAAAAGTTTAAGGAGAAAAAATTATTTATAGGGTATTCCAGGTAAAGTCTTCTCAGACTCATTTTACCTTCCTATAGTTTTTCAGTTACTCAGAATTTAGACTTCATTTGTTTTTCTCCATGGGTTCTGTTGATGTAAGCGGTTTTACAACTAAAGCCATCATGAAGACTTCTCAGGACGCTATTCTTCAGGTTGTTTGTCTGGGATCTAATGGTGATGTTAAAGATGCAGGAAATTCACTCCAGATGCTGTCTCTACCTTGTCTATTCCATCCAAGCTATTGTGAACCTGGAGAGCCATCTCATCAGGCCCCGCAGAAGTCATCTCACACAAGTTAGAGAAAAGCAACAAGGTCCCTGCAACACAGTCCGATTGCCAACCCCTTGAAGAATCTCACTTGCTTCACCTCTGCAAGACTCTGAATTTGAGATTTTTTCAAATGAATGACATGAGAGGAAAAGAGTTTCTACTTTCACCCAGAAATGAGGAGGGCGAGTGCTCGAAACATCTCTTTAACAAAGCAACTCTCTTCCATGGGTGTTTCGGTGCTGGTTGTCCTCCACATGAAGAATGCTGGAAAACCAAGATATGTCCTTAAATTATCTTTATTGCTATGGCTTTTTGGAGACAAGCCTGTGCTAGCAATTGGGAAGCCTAAGCAGTTCTGATGCTCTTGGAGCTTTTTCTGGCTACTGTGGAGAATTCAACAGCCAAATATATTCCCTCTATATTGGGGATGTTGAAACATTAACCCAATCCTAGGACAAACCAGGAGATGTATCATTGTTTGCTCATTCTTGACAATATTGTGTAATTTTGGTGTAATCTTAGTAAACTGTAGAAAACTGCTTTAGGAAGATCTGTAAGTCCTTGTAGCAGGACAGGAGCAGAAGAAATGTAACATTAACATCTGTGCAGGCTTTCAAACTTTCAGGAACTTCTCCAGAGATTTTTAAGCAGAACTAATTCAAACCCAGGCTTTTTTTATTAAGAGTGCATTGGAGCACTTTCTGCATCTCCTTTTATTGTATTTTTGCCTGTAACCATTTTTCCCCCAAATGTACCATTTTTATGATGTCCATCAGTATCAGGTTTGTGTTTCTTTACTTGTATTTTCATTTTGTATTATGTGTTTTTCTTTGTAGCTTGCACCAGGTGCCATTCCCGTAGGTATTGAGCGTTATGTTTGCAAATTAATTTTTGTTTGAGTTGTGTGATTTATTTATTCATTTCTCCCTGGCTTCCTTCATTTTTCTCTGCCTTTTCAGTGTTTCTGTAAGACCAGGACTGTCACTTGTTTTGTGAAGCCTGCAAAGAGCCCTTTAAACACATTGGACCAAATTAATTTACTGCATAATGTTGTACCGTAGTTACGTTGATTGCTTTATTGATCATTAAATAATTATATGCCTTTATAGAAATCTTAAGTTTATTACAAAAAGATGGGTTTTTTTAAATTTAAAAAGTACCTACTCATCAGTTTGAGATAAATAAACCCTATCAGGTTTGAACTCTGCGTGCTTGAAATGGTCCATTGCAGGTTGCATGTATACTCTTTTGTGTGAATTCTGATAGTTTTCTACTTAAAATTACATGCTAAACAATTTATCGGGGACAAGCTACATGACCCAGTAATGTAGGCAGAAATCACAATGCTTAAGTAATCATTTAAAAAAATTAAATTATTGGAAGTAGTGTTGGCAACGTGAATTGTTTCCCACAATTATATTCTCTCACAGTATCTGCCACATAAAATCTTCATAGTTAAGTCAAGCAGACTCCTTCCAGCATAAAATGTGATAAAAATGTAAAAGCTTAACAATGCCAAGATTAAGGAAATAAATTGTTTTGTAGGTCCGACATGCATGGAGGGTAGCAGAAATAGGCATTGATTGCAGTAAAGGCGATTTAACTTACACATTAGGAAAAATTTCTAATACAAGAATAGCTAAGGAATAGGATAGATTACTTTGGGGTGTATGGGATCTCCATCATTGGGTTTTTTTCCTAGAACAAATTAGGAAAAAAATACTGTTTATTAGTGTTCAAAATGGCATGACAAGCAAGAACTGTAACAACTAACCAGGGTTTTTGTAATCTAAATTTTTGACTGTAGTGTCTACACAGTGAACAATTACTGGCAATTACCTTCTATAATTTTTAATGGAAAAAAGAGATTGCCATTTGCATTGCTAGCTGTAAAATGAATTTTAATTTTACTGAAAGCTGGCATAGTTGCAGCAAAGCTTTAGGCAATAGGAAACCAGTCATTTGGAACACTTTGCTGTTTCTTTCACGTAGCTTTCAGCAACTGAAATGGTTTCTTATTTAAATAGTATAATCTTAGCCTTCCAAAATGTGTGCTTTAGAGTATTTTGGAGTGCTAAAATAAGTTTCTCTTTCTGTTGTACTCGTCTGTCCTCGTAGTTGTTCATGATGACACTTGGTGCATGTTGGAGTTGGCTCAAGTGTTTTTGCCTGCTGTACTGTAGGGATTGGTGAGCTTTCCAAGGGTCTGTTTTCTGGTTTTAATTACATGATAATGGCAGGGCAGGAGTTAACCTTCTAACAGAAGCATTTTGGATTCAGGTTGAGAAAATCTTGAGGGAAGAAGAACATCATGCTACTTTTTGAATAATTTGTTGAACTGAGCTATTTCTGACTGCATTGCATGTCCTACTCTGTATGGGACGGGTTCTGTAGAACAATGGTGGAAAGTAGCTGATAAAAATAATTTCAAGTTTTGCCTTATGCAGCCACTAGATTTTGTGTTATGTTTTATTCATAGTACTTGTCCTCCGATTCCTCATCTCCACATTCTTTGGGGCAGTTCACAACAGTTTTTATAGGACTTGTCTCCCAGCTTTTTGTTTTGCCCACTCACATTTGCATTCCTCCTTTGTAGTCTTGCCTCATATAACAGAAATAAAGTAAATAACTAATGACCGAGAGTAGCACATTAAGTCAGGTTAAATTAACCAGATTACATACAAGGACACAGAAATGTTTGTTGGAATACTGTAGACAATAAAATATAATGTAATGTATTTTAAAATTTAACTGTAATATAGAGTGACCCTTGCAGTCTAATCACATTAATAATAGCATCTTTAAAGAGATGGGAGGAGGTGTTGAGATAGTTCATCCTCGTCACAATTCATGTTTCTGTCATTTCAACGACACAGACATCCCAGAAAAGCACCTGAACTTGTGGGGCTTTTCAGAACCACCAGAGCATGTGAAGCTTAAACGCCCTTTTTGCCAGCGCTGTACTGGCATCCAGCAGACAGCAGGGGAAGGACTAAGAGTAGGCTGTCCATTTTGCAGCTTTGTATCCATCTGATAAATTCACACAGGAAGGAAGTGGCTTGAGGTTCTGGACTTTAATTAATCTCCTCAGTTCCCTGTGAATACAGTAATAACTTCTGATTCTGTCTGTGGCAGAAACATTCCTCCCCCTTTTTTTTAACTGAGATTCAGTTTGCCCCCAAATTAATTTCAGTCTTTTTCCCCAGGGAACATTTCATTCATCTTCTTCATACTCGTATACTCTGGTGACTATGCTAGGAGAGAGGATGGAACTGGAAGGATGAGTTCCTGAGTGGTTGCTCAGGACATCTCATGAGGCATTGCCCTATTTTTATGTTGTCGTGTGGTTTTGCACACAGAATTAAAACCGCAGCATCACTCTTGGTGGAGTCACCCAGACCTGAAATCTATGTTCCCAGCAGGCCACCTAGGGTAGTTGTCAGGAGTAACAAACTGATGATGCCTTTGCTCACCTTTCCCCCCCCCACCTTTATTATCTCAAAAATGTTACTTCCTATTGAAAATTATACCACAGTTGCTTTACTATAATTTTCACCTGATCTACTGAGAGATTTGTAATTCTGCATCAAAGTATTTTAGTTCTTTTTGAGATATAAAGAGAATCTCTGAACAGCATCTATTTAATGATAGGCTTCAACATATATGTTTATCTTTTTTCATTACATCAACCCAACTGTTTTGTTTTGTTTTTAATATGATTGAAGACAAATGCCTGAATCTGGTTTCTTATATTATTGTTATATTTGGCTTAAAACTTATTGCTTTCATGAAAAAAAAGCATTGTCTAAAACTAGCAGATACAGGTATTTGGTTACCACTGGGTTTTCTTCCTCCATAGGTTAAAGTGTGTTTTTAATACTTTTTTTATTAAGAAGATTGGATTTTTAGATCAGCAGTGTCATTTTTTATGTGGAATTCTTTTGCAGTTTTGTAGATTCAGTTAGTCTCACAGTATTTGTATTTTCTGCTTATTTAGGCTTCAACTAAAAAAAGCACTTGCATTGAGTAACTGGAAACTTAATAGTATATACGAATTTTTAATAAAATGCTCTTTTTTTTAATATTGTTTAAAGACTAAGGATCCCCAGCTCCATCTCTTTCTGAACGATTACAATACGTTTTTCACTGTGACTCAGAGTGGCATCACCCGCTACCTCACCCTGCTGCAGCCCGTTGACAGAGAAGTCCAGCAGCTTTACACCTTCTCGGTAAGCTGAATGCACTTGAAGGCACATCAGGCATTGTTCAGAGCAAGCATTGAAAAATAATCAATTATAACGTCATTGTAAATCATTAAAGTTGCACAGAAGAAGAAAAACAGTGAAGGATGAGCAGCAGCAATGCTGGGGAAGGGGAGTTGATAGTTTGGAACAGTGTGCTCTTCCAAAATGCATTTGTTTGGTCTGATAGCAACATTTTAGATCCCCCTACCAGCATCATCTCCATGGTCCAGGCTTGTGTCCTGCTCCTCACCACCTTCCCATGACACAGTCTGCCTCTTTTCTTCTGTAGCCAGCAATGGCCTTTGAGGCCACCTTTGCCTTCTCTTTTCTTGTCCCTTGAGCTAGGAACATGACACCTGTAATGACCTTTCCGCTTTATTTTAGTACAAAATAAAAAACTAGGCTAACATAAACCACAGCCAGCAGTATTTAAAAAAAACCCAAAACCAACCAAACAAAAAACTTACATGGGCTTAATACTCCCTCAGGCATTTCCCAGTCTGTGAGTAAACATCTTAACAGCCCTAAAGCAATTTGCTGTAGGGA